ATCAGCAGAACAAAAAGGCAACCTATATATATGAGAGAATATATTCATAAATAATTTATCTGATAAGAAGTTAACATCCAAAACATATAAAGAACTCATACAACTCAACACCAAAAATCAAATAACCTGATTAAAAAATGAGCAGAGGATCTAAACAGACATTTCTCCAAAAAAAGAGATACAGATGGCCAATAGGCACATGGAAAGGTGCTCCACATCCTTAATCACCAGGGAAATGCAAATCAAAACCACAATGAGACATCACCTCACACCAGTCAGAATGGCCACTATCCAAAAGACAAGAAATAACAAGTGTTGATGTGGATGTGAAGAAGTGGGAACCCACCTACAATGATGGTGAGAGTGTAAACTGGTGCAGCCACTAAAGCAATATGGAGGGTCCTCAGAAAATTTAAGAACAGAAATACCATATGACTCAGTAATTCCACTACTAAGGATTTACCCAAAGAAAACAAAATCCCTGATATGAAAAGATATATATGCACCCTTATTTTTATTGCACATTATGTACAAGAGCCAAGATATGGAAGCAACCTAAGTGTTCATCAATAGATGAATGGATAAAGAAGATATGGTACATATACACAATGGAATATTATTCAGCCATAAAAAAGAAGTCCTACCATTTGAAAAAACAGAGATGGACCTAGAGTGCATTATGCTAAGTGAAATAAGCCAGGTAGAGAAAGACAAATACCCTATGATTTCACTTGTATGTGGAATGTAAACACAAAACAAAACAAAATGAACAAAATATCAGTAGACTCATGGACACTGAGAAGTGACTGGTGATTACCATGGAGGAGGGGTTGGTGGGTGTTTGGGAAGGGTGAAGGGAATTTAGGGGCACAAAAATTCTCAATTATAAGTTGGTCATGGGAATGGCAGTACAGCATGGAGAATACAGTCAATGATCCTGTAATATCTTCCTACATTGACAGATAGTAACTACACTCGTTGGGGGAGTATTTAAGAATATGAGCAACTGCTGAACAATTGTGTTGTATATTTGAAACCAATGTAAGATTGTATATTAACTATACTTCAACAGAAAAAAAGAGGAAATTTTATATACATGAAAAAAATAAAATAAAATAAGAGGACCACTGACTTCTAAGCTCAATGAATTTAAAAAAGATCCACATCAAGGTAAACCATGAGAAAATCCTAGGACACCCCAACAAAAGAGAAGCCCTCAGAGCACACAAAAGATCAGAAATTAGAATGACATGGCAACACATTCATTTAGAGAATGGACTGATGCCCACAACTTCTAAGAGGACATGATTATCACCCAGAATTGCATACTCTGAAACTATCAAGCAAACATGAGGGTATAATGAGAATATTTTCAAACATTCAAGGCAACAAAAATTTGGCCTTCTATTCATTTTTCCATACGAAGCAACAGATGGATATGCTCCATCAATTAGAGTGAAAGCCCAGAGGAAGATACAGGGTCCAGAAAATGGAGAATCTCAAACAGGAGATTATGGGATACCCTTAAGTGCCGGAGGGAAGCTCCAGGGTTACACTGTTAGGCAGGGCCAGACAACAATCAGTGCAGGTTGCAGTAGGATGACTCCAAGAGATTGTTAAAAAACAGAAGAAGGGAGGAGACTTTTAGGAGCAAGCTGATGATGGCTAAGATGCCACAAGAGCTTGTTCATTTTGATTTGTCATTAAGCTTTCATTTCATGGAAAGATGTTTCCTGAGATCCTTATGTACAAGAATGATTCAAAGTTCATTCTGTGAACCTAGAGATGCTTTAATACACACTGAAGAGGTCATTTCATAGCCTGGCTGTCTGACCAGCTCTGTCTTCCGCGTTCATTTGTTTTTACTACAGTTAAAAACCATGGCAATTATTCAAATGCAAAGAACTGAAACCAAGAACTAATGTTTGAATCTTGGAAAGTGAACATTTTACTTTCCATTTACTGCATTGTAGCTTATTAATCTGCTAAAAGCAAAAAGACAAAATAAACAATGTTTTCCAAGAGCTGCTTTAGTTGAGATGACAAAGAAGCATCATTTGTAGATTCAGTCACAGAAAGCTCAGAATTTCATGCATTCGGTATATATTTATTGGGAGTTTACTGTGTGCTTGACAGACACCCAGAACAAAAAGCTGAATAAAACAAACCTGGTCCCTGCCTTCACAGAACTTAAGGCTAATGGAGGAGACAGATGTTTTAAAAAGAAAAACACCTAACTACATATATAAATTGTGCTAAGTCATAAAGGAGAATTAAAGAGATTATAATTTAGACTGTTGAGGAGTTAGCTAAGGAGACCTTTTTGAAGACATGTTATTTGATCTGAGATTTAAAAGATGAATAGGAATTTCCGGTTACCTATTACTGCATGATAAACAACCCCAAACTTGGTGGCATAGAATACCATATTATGCTCAAAAATTCCATAGGTCAAGATTTCAGACAGGGCATAGTAGTAATGGGTGATTTCTACTCCACAACATTTAGGGTCTCTATAGGCACACACAATTGTCTGTGAGTAAGTCCAACAGCTAGAGGCTGAAATCACAGGCTGGTGCTGTAGTGGTCTCAATAGGGACTCCAAAGACAATGTCCAAATCCTAATCCCCACTGTCAGTGAACATGACCTTATTTGGAAAATGGGTCTTTGTCGATGTGATCAAGTTAAGGATCCTGGATGTAGTATTGGCCCTAAAGCCAATAACAAGTGTCCTTATAAGAGAAAGGGGAAGGGGAGTTGAGAAGAGGAGAAACATGGGGAGAAAGTGATGTGAAGATGCAGAGAGAAGTTGGAGTGATGTGTCTGGAAGCCAGACAAATGTCAAAAATTGCCAGCCACCACCAGAAACTAGGACGGGAATGGAACAGATTCTCCCCCAGAAACCCCAGCAAGACACAACTGGCACCTCGATTTCAAACTTCTGGCAGAGTTCAGAACTATACAATAATGATTTTTGTTGCTTTAAGTCCCCAAATTTCCGGTGATTTATGGCAGCCCCATGGAACTAATACAGGTGTCTAGGCTTGGATGACACAAAGGATGATGCAACTACATGTGGCCTCTTCACGTGGCTTCGGCTTCTCATGTCATGGTGGCTAGGTTCTATGATGGAGCTTCCTGGAAGCAAGTGCCTAAAGAGCATGGCCTTCAAGAGAACAGGGCAGAAGCTGTAAGATTTCTTCTTACCTGGCATAGAAGTCACATTAAAATCACTTCTTCACAAAGTCACAAGCCCACCCAGTTTCATAGAGAAGAGATTTGGACTCCATTGCTTAATTAGGGGTGTGTCAAAGAATCTGTGTCCAAGTTCTAAAACCATGTCAAGGAATTAGCCATTTGTAGTAGGGATGAAAGTGGGCAATATCTGTGCTGTCCATTCTGGTAGCTGCTAGTCACATGTAGCTATTTAAACATAAATTAATTTAAAATTAGGCAAAATTACAACTTCAGTTCCTCAGCCATAACAGCCACATTTCCAGTACTCAGTAGCCACATGTAGCTGGTGGCTACCATGTGGATGACCCTGAGACAGAGCGTTTCCATCACTGCAGGAAGTTATGTTGCACAGCGCTGCCCTCAACTAGGGACAGTAAGGGCTGAGGCTCTGTGCTAGAAAATAAATTGGCTATATGTATACATATATATATATATACACACATACATACACACATATGTACATATATGTGGAATGGAAAACAATTGGCTTTATGGAAGGTTCTGCGGCATTTTGCAGCTGTATGCCCAGCATCTAGCACATAACAGGCCCTCAGAAGGCATTTGTGAAATGAAAGAATGCATGCATAAGGCTTAACCATACCTTGTGCCAAAGTAGACAGTGGCCTAAGATGATTGAAGAAGTGGGCTGGGGTCATATCACATAGGGCCTTACTGACCATTCTAAGGAGTTTACATTTTATTCTTAGTGAAATAGAACTTGTATAATAGGTTGTTTTGTATTTTGAATATTTGTGAGATGCTTAAAAAGAAACAAATTTACTGTGGTTAGTTGGTATATTCATTGGTAAAAGATTCTGCAGCAAGAGACAGAAATCCAAAAATAACAAAAGCTTTACTAAATTAGAAGTCTATCTCCCATCTGGCATAAATGTAGGCTGCTATGGTGACTCTACAATCATCAGGAACTCAGGCATTCAGTGGAGGCTTCCACCTCATTATCCAAGGTGTCTACTTCAGTCCAGCTACTGTACCTGCTTTCTAGACAGTAGAAAAGTGAAAAGGGGAGAGGGGGAGCTGCTGCCCTTCATATCCAGAGTGATCTCACTCCTGGATCCTAAACTTGATTGCATGTGCAAAAACCCTTTCTTCAGATAAGGTCATATTCACAGTTAAGGGGCTGAGAGCTTAGACATCTGCTCAATTTAAAGATACCTCTCAGGAAGTCACACAAAGATCTTCAGCTACATCCCATTGGCCAGGACTTTGTCATATGGCCACACCTACCTTGTGAGGAAGGCTGGGAAATATAATCTTTATTCTGGAAAGCATGTACTCAGCTAGAAAGCAGAGTTCTATTACTATCGAAGAAGCTAAGATGACATGAGGGGCAGCAACTACCAATCTGACATAGTTGTCTGCACATACGCATCTTCCACAAACCGTGAGTTCCCAGAGTTGAGGAAGCCAGTCTTACTCCTCGCCAACCCCCAGGACCAAGCACAGTGCCTAGCGTATAATGACTTATCACTGATTATGTGCTGGATTGCATGCTTGCTCAATTTTAGGTTTGTTTTTTAATTCCAACATCTTTCTCAGAAAGATTTATTTCCTAGAAGCCACATCTTTTTCCCCTTTCATTTGCTGGAAGCATGAGGGACTTTGCTCCAGTCTGTATCCTGGGACTCTGGTGAGGCTCTGGGAGGTAAGCAAAAGTGTTGGGATGAACTAGAATTCCTCACCACCCCAGAATTTCTAACTCTTATGCTTGTCCACACTGACTCTCCAGAAACTTGTCACTTACAGAGTTGACACGTTCCCACGGGTGCCGGCTCCAGCTGTGGCCTTGGGCTCCTGGTAAGTTGTCATCCTCTGCATTGGCATCTCTCCAGTTTTCAAGATGACGGGGTACCCTGTGACTTTAGTTCTCTGAGGGATCTAGGAAGAGTTGTTGCTTTTCAGTTTGTTCAGCTGTCTTCTTCCTGAGATGATGATTTAGGAAGGGGATGAATTATTAGGGGGAAAATAGTAGACAAAAGGTGAGGGACAGTAAGGAGAGGCAGGACACACAAGGAACAGAGACACTTAGGAACCAGGAGCCCCACCTTCCTGTGGCCACCCAATTCCTGCTGCCACTTCAGCTTCCAAAGTGCCAGGTTTTTGACTCTGATTGTTTATTAAAATCCCCTGCTGTGCTTTTACAACTCCCTGAATCCAGTCTGCCTTCATTAGAAGCACATTAGGGGATTCAAATGTGTGATTGGTGATGAGAACCAAGATCTGGATTCTTGCTCTTCAAAGGGTGGTCAACGACAACACCTGGGAGCTTTTTAAAAGGTGGCATCTCAGTCCCTACCCTGACCTGCCAAATCAGAATTTGCAGTTTAACAATATCCACAGGTGATTTCTATGCACGTTAAAGTATGAGAAGCTCTGATGAGATGATCCTCCTATACCCCCGGTACAGTTGTCCTCACAGGGCAGCAAGCGAGCTCCCTGGGAAGTGCTGTGAGCCAGGCAGCTTGAAGTCCAAAGCAACCAGCGTAGATGGTGTGCCTGCTGTGATTCCCAAGGATAATATATTAGAAATGGAGAGAATTCGATCTCCAGCAGGGACCTATAGTCTGAAACAGTGATACTGGGTTCATCAGCTTCAGGGACCACCAGAGTCAAAAAATGCTCTAATGGGATATGTTATAATTGAAGAATTGGGGTCGGCTTGCAGACCAGTGTTGGAAGCAGGCCAAAGAGACTTGAGTGGAAAAGAAGGTAAAGCACCAAGCCAAATGGAATGAGAATTGAGAGCAAGGAAGTGAGGGGACGAAGACCTGAGGTCTAATCAGTTCGGGGGGGAGGAGGAGTGTGGCAGAGAGAGCTGCGGACTCCAGCAGGACCATCAGGCCGAGGAATGCCATGGTCCTTCACATGACTTCCCCTGTGCCCCAAGGGTGCAGCCTCTCACTTCACCATTCACTTCCATAAGCTCTGGTTGCCTCTTTCTGCACAAGATTTCAGTACTATGTGGAATAAATAATAACAGGCATGTGTCTTGTGATTTTACTGCTCACCAGGACTGCAGTGTAAAGCACAGATAGAGTGCAGCCACTAAGAGCTTGACTGGAGCCACACAGCCTGAATTCCACTTCCTAGCTGGTAACCTTCGGCAAGTCAGCTGACCTCCTTGGGGTCCTTCTTCATCTACAAAATAAATTTATGGGCAGCTACCTGTCTTGCCACAGGGTTTCAGCCCTGAACAAGTTCACTATGGATTCAGTGAGACCAAAAGTTGACAATGGAATGTTCTTGGGGTGAAAGGGTTTATACCCAACTTTATTCCCACCATGACAGGTCAAGCACTAGAATCCTACTCACTCAGAGCAAGTCTGCATGCAGCAAGCCGGTCCCCACCTCTGGGCCTTTCCACCCCTGCGGTCGTCTCAGTCTCTGTCCTCGGTGTGACCACCACTCCAGCCTGGGCTCTCCTGCAGCCTTGCTGACGTACTACAGCTTCGCCCAGAGCACGCAGTGCTCTTTATATAGAGTCAATAACAACATTTGCCCACATGTGTGTAGTGAGCAAGTGGACCAAGGTCAGGTGAAAATCTTGGCCATAGGAACCTTTGCTTTCTCCGTACAACCTCATAAAGATAAATGCAGAAAGGATGTGAAGCAAAGAGCACCATGGGTAGCACAGTGAGATATATACACATTAACATATATATTATTTAATATGCACAAGGAGCTGGGGTCCAATTCTTCAGGCTTTTTTGGTGTGAGGATTGTCTACGATTTTGTGTTCCTTTAAGAGAGCTAAATGAGAATAAGAATACTTAAAAAGGTATTTTAACCAAACCAATGCACAGACTTTGTTTCAGTCATGATTTAAGTAAGTGGTGGCTACAGGGATATTTGATACAATTAGGAGAATTTGAAAATGTGCTCAGTTTAGCATACTAAGGAATTACTGTTAATTTTGTTAGATGTGTCAGTGACATGGTGGTCATGTCAAAAAAGAAGTCCTTCGCAGATTCATATTGAAGTATGAGGTAAGACCATCTAATATTGCCTTTATTTGACCACTTTTGATCTATAAAAATAGCAATTTTATGGCTCAAATATAGACAAAACAGGCATTTGTCCGGCACTCAATTGCTCACTCAAGTGCAGGAGATAAGGGAATAATATGGTGTATGGGATTTTCTTTTAAAATATTTCTGGGGGAAAAAAAGGGTAGAGATAGAAGAAACAAAATTCAAGATCTTAATAGTTGTGAGACTGGTAGATTCATCATGCCATTCTCTCTACTTCTGTGTTTGTTTGAAACTTTCCTTAATAAAATTATTTTAAGGTTTCATTTGATGGTATTCAACTGTGTATTGATTAGTATTTATGACCTCAACCAAATGAAAACCAATTCCATCTTGCTTAACAGAAGGAGGGCTTTAATTGGGCTGTGCAACTCATCAACCTAGTCTCAGAAATACCGGGAATACCTGGAGGATTCTTTTTCTCCTTCTCTATTTCTTCTCTGTTCCTTTTTGTACATAACTCCATCGGCTGACACAAACTTGTCCAGATGGTGGGGTAGAGAGCTGCTCACACACAGGTGGAAGGCCCCTACTCTTAGGTTAGGAGGACTAAGAAGTTCTTATCCCCTGGAAGGTATTTGAAAAGCCCCAGGAACCCCAGGAACCCTGATTAGCTCAGTCTAGGTTATGTGCCTACTCCTTAGACCAATCACTGTGGCTGTGAGGACCTGCAATTGGCCCAGACTGATCAAGGGAGCACCTCTGTAGCTAGGAGGGCTGTTTTCTGAAGATTCAGGGGAGGGAGAAAGGCTGAGCAGACAGAAACAACAGACACCCTTATAAGGTTTCTATTAGATTACAAGCAGTCTTTGATTACAGATCATGTCTTTGTCCTTCCAGGTTGTTTATTTGTTTGTTTTCCAATTTTTATTTTAAAATTTATGGAGCTGGTTGCAAGGCTTGTTGCAAAAACAAAAGAAAACAAATCAGCAGTTTCCATCTCTTCCCCCATTTTCCCTCCTCGGAGGCAACGAGTTTCAATTTTCTCAACTGGTTCCTTTGGTTTTACTTCCACCTAAATGACATACCATACTTGATTTTTCTGTTTTAGGCATTATCTCTTGATTCCCACCACGGAGATAATGTCTTTCACACACACACCCATACTTCTCACCAACATATTCATTCTTTCTAACTGTCCACATTCCCAATAAATTATATCAGTATCATGTTATTCTGAGAGCTCTTTGCTAAAGATAGATTAACACACTTTCTTTGATCTGTTAGCGGGACAGCTATGTCCTTGCTTTACGAAGAGGTCTTTGCTTTGACAAGCAGGATAGCCATTTATCAGAATAAATAAATATGGTTTATTTCACATAGGTTGAAGCTGTGGCTGATATTCCCAATCAAGTATCCTATACAGTTTTTTGAGATGGTGACTTGCAATGTACATGAAAAACAATCAGTACAAAAAAAAATCCATTCTCTTCAGGATTGTAATTCCTCTTTTGGAAATGCATCATGAGGAAGTAATTCAAGGAAAGGAGAAGCTATATGCATAACGTTGTTCACAGCACTGTTCTTTATGACAGAAAAAAAAGTGATTTACAATCCAAATGTCCCTTAATAAAGGAAAGGTTGAGTGAATTACGGTGCGATCATTAGATAGTCATAAACATCATGTAGCAATATGATAAAGTGATTGCAAATACATCAGCAGTGGGAAGAGAGACAAAAAGAATGTATGTATAGAGATAAGATTAGATGAGTATTCGGAGAACTATAAAGGTTTTGTCAGGATATTAGAATTATAAATATTAAAGGTTTCTGTTTAGATTTCCTTTATTCCATATGAAACAACAGAAACAACAAAAAAAGTAAAATAAATTCACACAAATCACTGACCTTGGTTTTTCCTCATTGTTTTCTGGCTGTTTGTCTCCTGCACAGTTCAGCCCCAAGTGCTCCCGGGAAGGACGTCACTGCTCGGGGCGAAGGCCGCAGCTGAGGCCACGTGAGCAGCCTGCCTGTGGGCTTGGCGCACTCACGTGGGCGACCACGCTGATCATGCCTCAGCAGTACGTCTCCAGCTGTTTGTTGTGCACCACCACAGGAATATTTTTCCAGTAGTGGGCATACATTTGCAATCTCTACACTTGCCAGGGTTTCGTCATCCGTTTCATGCAACTAGAAGCCAGTTGTCTCAGTAGAGATGCAGATTTACAGACACCAAAGGGAATTGAAAAAAAAACAATGAACTGCTTCTCTCGGAACCAAACCTATAGGTCTTTAATATGATGCTGTATACCTACCCTACCCCACTATTTCAAAAAGCCCCCGTTGTTTTTCATGAGATGATGTGGATTTGATGGCTGTCCAGCTTGGCAAGATCGAGAATTAGCCATAGGTTCAGAGTAAATGTTACATTTGATTATGAAGATTCCCTGAACGGTCTTATTCCTTGAGATGCATTGTGATTTGTGGGTATGACACACATACTGTTTGCCAGCTAGGGAGGTTTGTGACTGTGGTAGTCTTAGAGAGTGTGAAGGAAGAAAACTGGCCAAGAGGATTTCCAGAACTGGGGTGGGATGTGAGGATCCACGATGCCAAATAGTCCTCAGTGTAGTAGAGCTGGAAGGGTGTGCTACCCAGGACAAAGGGGAGCTCATCCAGCATCACTCACCGAAGCTTGAGGGCCCTGGTCCAGCCATGACCAAGAAGCCTCACAGCCAAGGCAGGAGGCCTGGTGCAGAGAGAAGAGTCTGATTTCCTAGGGACTGAGGGGCTTGAGATAAAGAGCTCAACCTACCCTATTAAGAACTAACTTCCACAAAGTAATCAAGCAAAGGAGAATATTTATCTGGATAATTAATCTTAGAGAAGCCAATCTGAAGGAGAATGGAGGCAGAATACTGGAAGATTCATAACTCACATTCATGTGCCTATAATCTGTGTATAATACACACACTGACTTCTTTCACTCTGAAGTGAAATTAACTGCTTTTCAAATATTGGGCAAGTTTTATACTGGAAGTCTTTGTGGAGAACCAGCACAACCACTGAAAGGAAACATCATAAATTCCAGGAGCTTGGTTTTTGGAGCACATTTTATTTTCCAATACTGGAGAATTCACATCTAGTAGCAGCCTAATACAAAAATGCAACACCAATCTATTTAAAACTCATACAACAGGAAATACGTATTTCAAAATGGTTTAAAGAAAAAAACAGATTTAGAGACCAGCTGATAAAAACATTTTAAAAAATCAAAACTCTCCTTCCATCATTATCAACAACAAAACAATTGTCATACATAGGGTACATTCACTTCTCAGACCCAGATTGTCATTTTTTTGTTTTCTGCAAAATATGACAACATGTATATATATATATGGATGGATGTATAATATTCATATTCTGGAAGGCAAGAGAAATCTTCAAAATTTAACTCTATTTAAACATTTTATATATATTTAAGGAAAGGAGGAATATATATATATATGTATATATTTCACCTAAAGTCAGCAAAATATTAAAAATAGGAGCAACACTGGTCTTTAAATATTACAGTAGGATATTCACATAATGTAGATATATTCTGGTAGCTCTTCCATTATTAATATCTAAACTATTTAAACATTTTATATATATTTAAGGAAAGGAGGAATATATATATATATGTATATATTTCACCTAAAGTCAGCAAAATATTAAAAATAGGAGCAACACTGGTCTTTAAATATTACAGTAGGATATTCACATAATGTAGATATATTCTGGTAGCTCTTCCATTATTAATATCTAATACAGTTTACAAACTTCAAAGTCCTGCTCTCATTGCCAAATAACTTAAGAGTCTAGATTCAATAAATACTATGTGAAGAATAATTATAAAACAGGCTGCAGAACATTCTCCAGACCAGAGGGAGTCATACCAAAAGGTTTTAGGGAAGAATCAGGTTTGAAGGCATGCAGGGAATCTGCAGGATTCCCAAGGCAAAAGAGAGTGACCCGACCAGCTCCCTGAGTGTGAGGGACGGAATCCTGAGGAACAGGTCGGGGTGGGGGTTGGGGGGTGAAGAAGGCACTGCCATCCTTCTCACGGTGCTGTTTTTCATTTGAACATGGCATCAAAGGGATGAACAGCTGGAAAACTTCCTAGTAAACAAGGGATAAGATCATTTCTCACCAGGAGGCAAGATCCTGGACCAGGAAGTCAATTTTTGTTGTTCAGCATTTACATTTACTCAGAGAACCAAAGACATAAAAACTATGACTTCAAAAGGACCTTGTGTATTTAAGCCTGGGCGGTAGGAACAGTATTTCTATCCCCACTCCAGATCAAAGCCCCTGGACCAATTTGCTAATCCTACTGGCTTAAAAAGAACCCCAGGTGAGGAGGCGGGCCTTTCCTCATACCTGGATCCACTCAAGGAAGCTGCCCCTGCAACTGTGGCTTTTTTGTGTATTTTGAAAGTATCTCACAAAAGGTAAATGGTTTAGTCTCACAGTGTATGGATCTCTGTTTGCCTTTATAATAAGACTGCTCTCTGATATCTCAATTGTTTGTCCCCATTTTCAAACTACTCCATTTGCTATTTCAATTGATTCTCACAAAAACAAACTTATGAGGAAGCCAGGTAGGCGTCCAAGTGCTCACTTTAAAGATCAGGAAACTGAGGCACATAATAGGCCAAGGTGACTTAGCTTGTCACTGTCACACACACTAACGAACTGGTGAGGATCTTCTTCAGGACTTAGCTCCGCTTACCTCTAAAAACAGCCTTGGTCACAGTTGTTTTGGAAGAATGAAGTAATTTGAAGAGGGGAGAGGAAAAAGAGGAAGAAAAATGAGCTCAAGAGAAGTGCCACTTGGCAATTAGTACCATGAACTTTAAAACAAGCAAAGTGCATTTCACAGGTAGAACAGACATTTAAAACAATGTTTAAATCTTCAATCTTCTAAATAGTCTCACATTGGCCTTGATTATTACATCTTTGTAGTAGGTTCTGAGGCTGACATGGAAACATAAGATCACTGAGAAATTTTTACATGAGTTCCATGGTTTCCCAAGAGACATAAAGGTGTTACAGCCTGTTCTCAGGAGCCTGCTGCTGTCCCATTTCACCTCCAGCACAATACAGTTACATTAAAATATAGGTATATTTGACTCACTTGGTAGTTTCCTAAGGTGTAGGTTTTACATATTATTAATGAATATTCTTGCTATATGTCCTTAGGAAAGTCAGTTTTTTTTCCTCTCTGGATCTAAGCTGTGAGATTGCAATGAACCTAGAGCTTGTCTAATTTTAAGTTTGGATTCTACTTGGACAGTTGCTGGAGAAGTAAGAAAAATACTTAAATGACCATAATAGTTAATTTAGAAAGCTATCATATTTCACACATCTTTTCAGGAATATTCAGTGACTCTTAGCTTGATAGTTCCATAAGACAAAATGACACTAATTCCACTGTAAGAAAATATACATGTAGTGATAATCTATGAACTGAAAGACTTAGGTCCAATGTTCTGGAGTCGGACTTACAACTGTTAATCAACCTTTATTTTTAATCAGTAAATGTGTTTTAAAGAAAGAGCTGAATTAAAAAGGTCAGTCATGACACTGTTGTGTGACATGATACAAGTCATGCAAGTTCAGGCACTTGTCCCAGAGCCCCATCCACCCCCCACTGGCCCCTATCATTCTTACACTTTAATGCCCCACCAAGTCTTCCGACCCTGAACTGAACCAGTGAGGCACCAAAAGGCAAATTATGCTTTGGCAAGCAGGAAATTGGACAACTTTCTGAGCTCTTCTGAGGTAGTGGAGTCTTTCATTCTAATATTCTAATGGTTAAGAAAACTCTAGGGAACTGAACTAAGAGACAAGTGGAGTGTTAGTCGCTGTACTTAAACATGACTCTGAAATTGGTGGTTTGTATGGTTATATGCTTGCTGCATGCTCCAAAACTTCTTAGGTAGAATCCTGTTTGTTATGTGGAGAACATAAGCAAACAGGCTGCTGTGTGGTTAGGGTTAGCCATGGTTGCTCTAGGGCACTGTTAACTCAGACAACTTGAACTTAATTCCTACATGTTTCTGAAAAGGCATATGGCACATAGTTGGCGCTCAACAAACATCTGATGACTGGCTGTTTAAGATCTCTGATGTAGTTCAGCGAGATTATATGCAAAAACAAATGTAAAAATACTCAACCAACTGCAGGCTAATTGTCACCAAAGGCTAGGTCCCTTTTGTTTGTGCATGGAGTTTTAGAGAACTTTCAAATGATGAGAAGGTTAAGCTCAAATGATACTGGGCCCAGTATGGTATATAATTCCATATTAACTTCCTTCATCAGATACCTTAGTTCCATCATGATTTTATCATGATGTGATTGTGGGATTTTTAGCCATAAATAACTTTTCTGAAGACAAAGTGATCCACTCTCTCTGCTGTTCTTCAAGTTTTTCCACCAGGCATTTAATCAAGACAGGGTCCACTTTAGAATCAAATTTATTACCAAACCAATGTCCATCATTTATAAGCCACCTTAATTCTGCTGCTCCATAGATACACACACTTCGGAGGTGAGAGCCAGTACAACTGGGGTAGAAAAGGCCTTCATGATAATTCCATTTGACAAGGCGGGTCTTACTCTGTAGGTCAGACACATCCTGGGCTGACTGAGAAATCTCCCCAGGCATGCCCGGTACCCGAATTAATGTAGCCCAAAAATGTTCATCAGGTGAGTATGTATCTTCAGACCAGGCAAAAAAGTCTTTAACGAGGGAGCTGTTGAAAATATATTTAATAAATGCTTGACTTAAAACAAAATAAGCACTGCCAACAAATATCTCAATGTTGTGAGGTGGGGCTTCCTTGGAGATGTTTGTCCTCATTGGCAGCTTCACATATTCATAAGGCACCAGTCGGAGTTCGTGGTGATAAGTGAATCTTTCCATTTTATTGTTAGGGGGTTTCACTGTTTCTAACATATTTGCTCCATTGAGTTTCTTCAACTCTGACACTAATTCAAAGTTTGATTTCAAAGGAAAGTCTTGCCCACACAGGTTGATAACATATTTCCACTGAACTGAAGACTTGAGAAGATCTGACAAGCAGTTTAAATCAGCTTGGAGTCTGGAAATGTGTGCATACTGCACAGTCTCTAATTTGGAAGCAATGAAAATATTAGAGAAGCACTTAGCTAAATTGTTCATGGCAACTTTGAAGGTATTAGATGACTTCAGGTCATAATGGATGCAGTAAATATTGTGCTGGTTGTATACAGCATGGATCAGCCTTTCAACCATAATTGCATCTTTGTGAACAACCAAAGAATAGGCTATTGGGAAGCTTTCCTCCTCCCTTGAAACAAGCTTTTGATGGTATCTTCTTAGGGACCGATAAATGCCACAATCACTGGTCATTGCCACAACGTCGTCATCATCCAGGTCGATGATGTCTCTTCTTCTTATTTCCAGACTCTTGCCAATCTCCAGAGGCTCCTGCTCATAGATGCCTGAACAGTTAACTTCATACTCAACTTTGTTCTTAACATGGGTGTATCTGTTTCTTACAAAAGGCGAGGTACTCAAGGAGTACTCAACCAAGTAAATGCCCCTTTGAGGGAAGAGGAGCCTTCTCACATTTAGAAGCCTCAGGAAGGAGAGCAGCCACAGGGTTAAAAACAGGATGAAAACTTTCTGCCGAATGGGGTATTTGAAACCACATCTGAATGTCTTCATTCTGTTAGAAGAAAAAGGAATAATTTGGTTGAACTATTAAGAGGAAATTAGTTTACTTTGACCAAAATTCACCGGGCACTTATCACTTGCCAGGCAGAATGCTGGGCCCAAGGATGAGTAAAACAAGGTTACTGCCCTTGAGAGAATCCAGAAACAAGAAAATGGAAATATGTAGAATGGTGGTATTTTGTGATGTTCTGTGTGAAGTATACCTAGTTTTGAGAGATGTTGATTACCAAATAGAGTGGAAAATGATATAAACTCCTAAAATGTAGATATTATGTATCTTTTATTATCAGCATTTCTGCTTAGCATATTTGGGGAGGGATTACTCTGCTTTGTGCGGAGGTCTTAAAGACTTAGATGTCATAAAAAGGTCCCTGACGATGCCCACACGAGGCTGAAAGAAACATCTATCTCAATTCTATCTTGAGATCCTGATTCGATAGACGTCTGAGGTCAGACAGTGAAAGCCCAGTGAACCCCAATGCTATCGACTGAATGTCTATGTCCCATGAAAATTCTTATTGAAGCCTACTCCCTAGTGTGATGGTGGTGGGAGGTGGGAGCTTGGAGGTGATGATGTCACAGGTGGAGCTCTTATGAATGAGATTAGTGCCCTTGTAAGAAGAGACCCCAGGCAGCAACCTTGTCCCTTACTGTGTGAAGACACAGCGAGAAGTCAGCAGTCTACAACCCAGTAGAGGGCCTTCAGCAGAACTCCAGCATGCTGGCCACCTAACCTCAGACGTCCAGCCTCTACAACTATCAAAAATAAATTTCTGTTGTGTATAAGCCACCCAGTCTATGGTATTTTGTTACAGCAGCCCAAACAGACTAAGATACCCACTTTCAAAAGTATGAGCAGAGGGCAGACATCCAAAGGAGAATGCATAATTTTGTATAGATGATATAAAATTGGCAAGCCTGCCCATTAATTTTAAAATTTTGTTAGCTTCCATTTCCTCATAGGGATTAGCAACTTAACACTTAAAATGAAAGAACATGACTTTCACTGAGAGTTGGGGGGACAGTTAGGCAATATCTGTCCCTTTTAAATGTACCCACAGAGAAGGCACATGTGTGTGCAGAGAAGGCGTGAGCACAAGACAGCTCCCTGCAGTATTATTTATTCAGACTAAAGTCTGAAAACCACTAAAATGCCCTTTATCAGGATTGGTTAACTACACTCCACACTGTGTAAGCCTGAGACAAATCCGCACGTTCCCATGTGGAACACTGTCCATGATAATGTGAGAGAGAAGTAAGCAAAATGCAGCACGGGCTCACATGTGTGTCAAAAAAAGCCTATACATAAGGTGTCTACACACAAAGAGCACATGCTGGCAGCCTTTTTCATTCTCTGTCACCAAGTACTCAACTCTGCCATTGTAATGGGGAAGCAGCCATGGATAATTTGTAAATAAATGGGCATAGCTGCCTTCTAATAAAACTTTATTTGCAAAACAGGAGGCCAGCTAGATCTGGCTCCAGGCCAGTAACTTCCAAAATATACTGTACAGACACAACACTGGGAACAGGGGTTGCTTTGCAGGGCACAGTGGGAGAGGCCTGTGGTTTAGGGGCCTGGGTAGGAGGGGGATTTACTTACCACTGAATATCCTTTTGTATTATTTGAATTTTAAAAATTGTATTTCTTTTTCAGATAAAACCATGCTAACTAAGGGGAGGGCATAGATGTGCTTATTTTGGGAGCAGCAGGAAGGGGAATCCAAGGAGTACTACCCCAGTGATTACAGACAGGGGTGCTGGCTGAACCCCTCTGCTTCAAGGAGGCTCCAATACTGGGAAGTGAGATCTGAGGAGCCCGTGGGCAATTCCCCAACATCTCAATAAATCTTAAATGAGGACATAATCATTGTTCCCAATTTCTTAGAATTGGCAAGAAATCTGAACCTGTTTTATTTTTGCAGATTTCTTCTATATAGATCAATTGAAATGGCTCTCCTTGGAATGACATATCCTCACTCACCTTCACGTGAATCACTGTTATTTAAAGAACACCACCTGATCATCAGTGAACTGTTCTGCGGACCCCAGGACTTCTCTGAACATACCTCAGTCTCTCCCCTGCAGGTCCTGTCCTCAGCTCACTGCTCTTTCTGTGCACACTCTTCTCTGCATTTCAGCTTCCACATATACAGTGCCAACTCCTTGACCATCAGCCCTCACCTCTTACTCAAACTTCCCATGTGAACTTTCAATTGCTTGATGGACATCTTTAGTAGACACCCTGCAGGCATTCAAACCTCCGGGAGTCCAATGTTGAACTTGACATCTTCGCCTCTTGTGTGTTTTCTGTCTCCGTTTTCAGTGAGACCATCCATTCAATGACCCAAGCTTACAGCTTGAAAGCAACCTGACTCTTCCATTTCCTTCATATCTATATTAACAAATTATCTCATAAATATGCCCGAATCCATCCCTTCTGCTCCAGCCCCACTGGTAGGTCCAGACAACATCTTTGCTGAATCAGCACCCAAGTCAAGGAATCCCACTCAGGCTAATGACTGTGCCTTTGCCTGGCCTCAGCTTTCTAGCCCTCTGAAGCAAACTGAATAGAGTTCCATACACTCAGGATCAAGGCCAAAGTACCTGGCAGCTGTTACCAAGCATGGGAAAACTGACTCCCACTGCACAGGAAAACACAAACTACAACCCTAAAAACCTGAGCACACCTTTAGAATCAGGTATAGTGATAAAATTAAACTTAGAAGATTAATCAATCCCAAATCAATTGATCCATTTATTTCATCATTATCCTATTTCATAGTAATTAGGCAAAAACAGGAAGCAGATTACATAAATGGCTAGAATTAGAATGAAGCTTACCCACTGTAAATTTCTGCTTTTTCTTTTCTCCCTTTATTGGTTCATGGAATATTGAATTACTATCAGTTAATAGTTCTCCTTGAAAAGATCTCATATTTCTGAAGAAGTTTGCAAAGGCTTCCAGAGCTGTCAGTTCATTTACGATGTACCATTTAGCTATCATCTCACACTTACATAAAAAAGCACAGGCTGGCTCCTGCCCTCTGACCCATTTCCAAGGCCTCCCCTGTGCTCATGCTTCCCCCGCCCTCCCAGAGAACATGTGGAGCACACCCTTCTTGGCTTCAGCCAGGTGCTGGGAAGTCTTTGTTGAGATAAGAGGCCATGGCTGCCTGCCCAAGACAGAAGGCAGCAGGGCACCCGGGGGAGTGGTGGAGACACACTCTGCACAGGTCCATGGGAACTGGCTCTGGGTCCAATGTCTGAGCTTCACTACCCAGGGACAAGAGTTAATGTTAAAAGAAGAAGAGCAGGGAATCAGGACAGCCCAGGCACCTCACTTTCTCATTCTCCTGTCCCCAGGCATCCTTAAGGGGAACAGCTCCTCTGTCTATAGGCCAGTCTCTGACATTAGGGGAAATGAGCGACCCCTGGATACTAGCCTGGCCCAAGTCAAAGCCAAACCCCTTCACCTGCATATCATGGCCAGAAATTCCTTTGACTGAAAACATCCTCTCCCCACGTTTGAAGTAAAAAGGGGTGAAGGTGTGAGCACAGTGTAAATGAACTTCTGTCAAATCCTGAAAGGTGCTGTGGCCCCTTCCCAGCTGTGCCGGCTGACTAGGCACTAACCCCTGCAGGAGGTTAGAGAGCACAGCTCCCAACTGTGGCTCAGCTGTCCTGGGACAGGACCTCTGTGTGACACCCACAGCCCCTCCCAGCCGGGAGACGCAGAAGCCAGGGGCCCGGCAGGTACCTGCCCGCTGCGGTGCTGCTTCCCTTTCCAACTACCTGCTGCCCAGTGCCCAGGCCTGCATGGATGGGAACGAGCTCTCTGAGGTCCCACCAGAGCAAGTGGGCCAAGGCTGCCAGTCATGCTGGCCACGTGCTTCCAGCAGACCAGGGCAGCAGTGCCACCTTCTGCAAACACCCCGCCCCACCTCTTTTCCTCTTAAAGGCTCGTGGGCAGGAAGCAGGCAGGTGTTTTGCTACCAGGAAATAGACTTACAGTCACATTACAAAGAATTTCCCAACTGTGGAACAAGGGGTATTTCCCCTCCCACCCACCTAGGCAGACAAGGAAGCCTGACCTGCTGTGGAGCTGCTGCCATATAGGCCCGCTGTTGCCATATAGGCCCAAGTAATGATGATGAAATGGAGAAGGTAATGATGGCAGGGTTTGATCACTATAGCACAGGTGAAATAGGTCTCTTTGGTTAATTCAATAAAAACCCAATAGGGATGTTGAATGAAACCTTTTCCCCAAACCATCTTCTTTTCCCAGCCCTGTTTACAGCCTTAAAGGAAACACACAAATGGACACCCCAGCTAAGTGGTTATAATTGCAGTCAGTCAGGGCTAAATGGCCAAAGCCATTAGCAGCTCTTCAATGAACTCTCCTTAAATCAGCAATTTCAAAACTAGGACTGTCAAAGTACACACTTCCTTTCCCAGGGAAGGAAGGAGAATTGGAAATCACCAACAGGAGGAAGACATCTGGGGAGAGAAGTACAGAATATAGTTTAGCTCAGGGACAAGAATGTCCACCTTCTTGCACAGGTAGTGCAGCACTTGGGAGAAAGGAATATACCTGGGCTCAGGATGCCTCAGACTTGGGCTTGACTCCCTGGGGAAACACACAGTAGCTGCAAGACTGATCAAAATATTTAGCCTCTGAATCCTGGTTTTCTTGTCCTCAGTGGGGATCAGAAATCCCCTCACTAGCTGCTGTGAGGGCTCAGGAGACCCTGTGTGAATGGGGTCACCCTGCAGAAATGCACAGGGCACAGTAGAGGCCCTTTCTCTCCCCACCTTGCCCCACTCCAAATCTTGAAGTTTTTCCAGTACATTTCATAGGACATGTTGATTTTTTTTTTTTAAGATAGAATCCACTAGACAATTGTAGCAGACAATGTTAAGGAAATGACTGACCTTTATTTTTCTGATTAAAATAGGCAGTGGAAATGTAAGGAAAGATAAAGTGGCAGA